GAATATTTAATTCCTGCAAACTTCAAATTAAATTTGTGCTTATAACATTGTCGATTCTTCCATTATATAATTATTAATAACTAGTTTTGATGAGTGAGTTTCGCAAATCAATCATAACAGCACTGTAATCCATCACACCGGTAGAAGTTTAATTGGAAATCCGTTTAATCCGTGTGGAAAGATTGACAGGCAAATACGATCTAAGAACGATATAGTTGGACTGTATACTTACTGTCTGAAGGCGGTTTTTTGTTGCCCTGCCTCTGGCAGAGAAACACGATCATTATGATGATAATTAGTAGAATAATTCCTCCTATTACGCCAACCACCACTATCAGCATGGGAAATGTTTCTGAAACAACAACAAAGAATCGTAAAAAAAAAGAAAATAATAAAACAACGAATAAGAATAAGTGAAGGAAACTTGTTCTCTACTCTGAATATTCTGGTAGGTATGCGAACGGCTTTAGTGTTGTCCACACACTAAGCCAGGCATTTTTTTTAATGTGATACTTTATGGGCCCTGCTGTCGTTAACTGATAAGGAGACTGTATATTTTCGCGTAATTTCTTTTAATTTTGTTAAACGGCCATTTTATTAATGCCACGCTACAGGACGTCGCGTGATGTCGTAAAAATTAAAATAAATTCGCCAGTTTACGGTACCTTCATGCAGAATTTCAAATGGTTGCCATATGGCAAGGTAGAGCGCAAACAAAAAAATCACTACTAGCGCATAATTCAGGAAAAAAATGGTTTGCGAACATAACAATGCTCTTGTCATACGATTCAATTAAATTAAAATTAAAACTTTAAATGACAGTATAAAAATGTTTTTTTGATTTCTAGTTAAGTGGTTACTGAATTGTTCACAGAATTTCCCTCGATAGTGCTGTCCATACGACAAATCTTCGATTTACAACCCAAAAATTCCCTATAATTTCACGCATAGTTTGTCCCAAGCTTTTGGCAGTAACGCAATAAATGCCGTTTTGTCCATTACTTGTTCACCCAGCAAGACGCAAATTTGATGTTGTGATGGTCTGTTTTTCATCAGATTGTTACAATTCGCAGAATCATGAAAGAATGTGAAAATTATTGATTTTACTTCTTGGCGATTTTTGTGAAGTTATAATTTTGATTTACCGGTACACATTTTTTGGGTAATTTTTTGGGTGCCAAAAATGCCTTAGCAATATTATAAGGGCGAACAACGGTTTATTTTATTCAAATTTTCAACATAATTCAACTGCAGGTTTACCACTACGAAAAGAACGCACTTTCTCACAGTTAACGTCCGAAACTGTGTAATTCAAACAAATTAATCAGGAAACCGAGGAAATTGATTTGCTTTCCCAATAAATCAATACACAGAACAAACACTGCTATTGAATAGTTGGAAAGTACTTAAAAAACTCCGATTATCAATGGGATGTGGAACCCAATTTCGCCCGACTAATTTTTTATTTATTAGATTCGGCGCGCATAAAAAGGGCTACACATCAGATGCTTCGGAAAATTGCCCGACACGAACGAAAAAAATTGCAAACGTGAAATTTCCGGTTTGGTGACATGGAAGCCACTGAATTAATAATAAACTCACAGGAAAACTGCCAGAATAACTAATTGCAAATGATTGAACTCACTTTGTGGCATTAGACTGATCTCGACAGTGTCGCTTCCAAATGGATTATTGACACTGCAATTGTACATTCCAAAGTGTTTTTCCTCCGATTCTCTAATCGTCAAAGTGGACTTGATGCCTTCAGGTAACGGCACCTCTTCGATGTGATAATCGCGACTTTGAGGATCCACAGCCCTTCCATTAAAGGACCAAAAGACCCGTTCTGGCGCTGGAATGGAAAACGCCACACATTCAACTCTCACGTTGTCTCCTTCGATTCCAAATTGTGTTCGATGTGAGACTATTGATGGAGGACCTGAAACAACGAAAAATCAATTTGCAGGGGGAATAATCCACAAGGTGGCCCTTTTACTAAAATGTAAAAAAGGATAAGTCTAATGCCTGTTTCACCTGCAGAATATTTACTCTAAAGCGACAGTTTTGCGTCAAATGAAAACCGGCACGTTCATAAAGAATTCCCCGAGAGGGATGGACATAAATAGAGAAAATTAAAAATTGGAGGCAATTTAGATAATTATTGGGTGTGGTGGTCGAGTGGACGGCCGTGTATGAAGCAGGAACAACAGCAGCAAAAAACCACTAGGGAATGACTGGATGTTTGTTCTGTGCCCGCAAATTAAGTCGCTTTGCCATGGAAAACAAAGTAGAACTTACCTTTCAGGTAAATGGCGGCCTCAGCCCCGATATCTTGAAATCCGGTCACGTGCGCTTTGCAATAATATTTGCCGATGTTCAATTGATCGACTTTCAGAGTCAGATTCGGGCTGGTGCCCACCTTTTTATCCTCATGGTACCAGATTATGTTGGGGAATGGATTGCCGTCCACGTCGCAAGTCAGCACAACATTCGAACCTAAATTCGCACAATAAGTTACTAATTTTTAAAAAAAATCCTAAAACGAATTGTTACCTAGTTCAGTTTGAATAGAGCGGGGTTTTGTACGGAACTGCGGACCATCTGAAACAAGAAAAGTACGTGCTTTATACGCTGACATAAAGTAAGAGCGGATTATCTTGAATTTTACCATTCTGGGTGCAAACTAAACTGATTTCTCAGTTGATGTTTTATATAAAAATTGCATATTTTTAAGCTCTATGGCTTTAAAATCCCGCAATGGCAACCAGAGCATTACAGCTCAACGGATTATCTAAATGTGTTAGTACTACATGTGTTAGAAACATTCCTAAATTAATGTTTTATATAAAAAATGCATATTTTAAGATTACTCCCCCCAATGGCAACCCGAGCTTTATAACTACGAGCATAAGATCTAGCAGTACCTACATTTTTTTGTTTAATCTATAATTTTGAGTTTTCCTGACCCTTGAAAATCTTGTCCAAAAAAACCCAGGAAAACCCATATTTTCTCGTAAATTTAGTCCTCAAACAAACTACTATATTAAAGCAGCCTGGCTAGAATGTATAATAAAAATATAGCTTAGTCACCGAAATAATATGGATTATACAATTTAGGTGGCGCGAACCTCTAGAAACTTCATAAAGTATAATTCCATATTCTCGGACGTGCTCCATATTACCGAGACCCATTCAATGGGTTATTATTTGCCACAAAATGGTTTCCTTACAAAATATTATGTTTTATATTCATGAGTCGCTTATCGAACAAGTGGCTAAAGCACTCCACACACTACCAACAAAAGTAATCACCGTCGCTTTTTTACTTTCGATTACTGTTACCAGCCAGGAAAATGTTTTCAGCAGCAGTTTTATATTAAATTTTCTACTATTTGTCAGATTCCGCTTGAGAAACGCTTTATTAATTTATGCATTCAAATAGCGGTTTTTGTACAACATTTAAGCAATACAGATTTGCGTGCACCGTGATATTTCAGAAATTTAAATCAGGGCAATGTCTTAGAAACCAACCGCAATAGTTGCGCAGTTGGTTTATTTTCATAAAATGCTTCAAATTCGTTCAGCTCTTTAACAATTCCAAGCGTATGACTTGTTTAAGTAACTGTCAGTTAAAAAATATGCGAAAAGTTCAACAACAGTTTTAGAAACGATTGATATATAAAAGACTAAGCGCGCCAAAGCGGACAGCAAGCAGGTGAATCTCCTTTGGCATCAGGGCGCATTATATGAACGTTTCTAGCTTTTTTGGCGTTTAAATGCACTTTATTCCCACTTTGCTTGAGCTTTGCTGCATTTGTTTCCCTTTTTTAACGAGCCGTTCGTAAAAAGACGTAAAATGGTCTTCGAAAAAAAAAACGCTTTCAAAACATTCGATCAGTTTTTAAACTTAGGAACTAACTTAACAAACATCAGAAATTGGGATTTTTCGAGAAAAAGTGAACATAAAAACGTCTAGAGCAGAAATCTCGAAAACTATGAGTTGTTTTAATTAAACTGCCTCACTTGGTACCATCATTTCTCTTTTATAGAAATGCCGCTTGGTTCTCTTCCATTTCTTTGAAAATCGCAGGATTATTCAAATAAAAATGAAGCAAAAGACTGAATGGTAGTTGGATTTTGTGTCTGGTGATGTCACAATTAATCACAGAGCGTTTCCCCGTGTAAGCAAGCATTGAAACTTTCAGGGCGGATTTATCGAGGGTAAAAGATGAATTATAGATAGGTGAGCGTTTGAAACCAAATAATTTCGATGCAAAGGCTGTTTAGAAACTTGAATCGTTCTCAACTTTTTGATGTTTGAAGTGCCGATTCTTAATATGAAACCTCAAATAGCTCAAAGCATATTGTATGAATTTAATAAAATTAAATATCGAACAGACTTCCAGTCCCGTGCGTATGGTCTGCTTTAACCTAATTATGCCGACTTGCCGGGCAAGTCGTGCAAATTTAGCTGAAAACTTAACGTGGAAATTATTGTGGTCTATGGAAATTTACTTTTCACTTGTCCGCTGGGCTAACTACCTATAGAAACTTGGACCATGGTAATTTTCGAGCCCGCAAAATGTGTCAAGTGTAGTTTCAGCCGGTCGGTTTTCGTCTGTTAGATGGCGAATTGTGATTGAAATTTTACTGTAATTGCCCATGAATATATATGGAATTTAAATGGCTGTTATTGCTACTCTTAGTTGGGCGACTTGAGTCAGGCAGGATTTTCATCAGGGAAAATTAATAATTATATTATTAGGGCTCTAATTATACAATACAAAAACTTGTTTGATTTGTCATACAAAAATTAATTAATAATATGAATTGGAAGTTTACCTTGACTAACTCAAGAAAATCGTTTATTAACTCCCATTTCCTATCTAATCAATACGATTCGAATTCCAAATCAATTTTATGTCTATTTTTCTGGAGCTTTGTATGACCCTCGATTCATTCTTTTCAGACTCAAGTTTGGAAGGTTTTGAAAAATCAGTGGGTTTTTTTCTGGGTATCCTTGGACAGTTTATATATGAGCCGCAAAAATTCCAAATCGATTTTATGCCTAATTTGAGATGTTTGTCGAGAGGTTTGCACGATCGCTTGATTGATTCTTTTCAGCCTCGAGTTTGCATCGTTTCAAAAAATCAGCGGTTCGTATATTTGAGCGGGTTTTTCTTCTGAGTATCCTTAGACACTCTTTCATTGAGCTGCAAAAATTGGCAATGTGTTTTACCCCTTATTTCAGTCTTAGAAATATTTTTCTAGACGGTTGCATGAGCGCTTGATTAATTATTTTGAGGCTCGAGTTTGGAAGGTTTTAAAAAATCAGCGGGTTTCCATATTTTAGTGAGTTTTTTATGAGTATCCTTAAACAGTCTTTATATGAGCCGCAAAAATTCCAAATCGATTTTAAGCCTAATTTGCGATTTAAAAATGTTTTTCTAGAGGTTTGCATGCGCGCTTAATTGGTTACTTTTAGGGTCGAGTTTGGAAGGTTTTGAAAAATCAGCGATTCGCACATTTGAGTGGTTTTTTTTTGTGAGTATCGTTAGACACTCTTTCTTTGAGCTGCAAAAATTGGCAATGGATTTTAAGCCTTATTTCAGTCTTAGAAATATTTTTCTACAGGGTTGCATGAGCGCTTTATTGATTAATTTCAGGCTCGAGTTTGGAAGGTTTTGAAAAATCAGCGGGTTCCCATATTTTAGTGAGTTTTTTTCTGAGTATCCTTAAACAGTCCTTATATGAGCCGCAAAAATTCCAAATCGATTTTAAGCCTAATTTGCGATTTAAAAATGTATCCTTAGATACTCTTTCTTTGAGCTGTACGATCGCTTGATTGATAATTTTCAGGCTCGCGTTTCGAAGGTTTTAAAAAATCAGCGGGTTCCCATATTTGAGTTTTTCTCTGAGTATCCGTAGACAGTCTTTATATGAACCGCAAAAATTCCAAATCGATTGTACCCCAAATTTGCGATTTAAAAATGTTTGTCTAGCGGTTTGCATGCGGGCTTAATTGGTTCTTTTTAGGCTCGAGTTTGGACGGTTTTGAAAAATCAGCGATTATTAGATTTGAGTGTTTTTTTTATGAGTATCCTTAAATACTCTTTCTTTGAGCTGCACAATCGCTTGATTGATAATTTTCAGGCTCGCGTTTCGAAGGTTTTAAAAAATCAGCGGGTTCCCATATTTGATTGAGTTTTTCTCTGAGTATCCGTAGACAGTCTTTATATGAACCGCAAAAATTCCAAATCGATTGTACCCCAAATTTGCGATTTAAAAATGTTTGTCTAGCGGTTTGCATGCGSGCTTAATTGGTTCTTTTTAGGCTCGAGTTTGGACGGTTTTGAAAAATCAGCGATTATTAGATTTGAGTGTTTTTTTTTATGAGTATYCTTAAATACTCTTTCTTTGAGCTGCACAATCGCTTGATTGATAATTTTCAGGCTCGCGTTTCGAAGGTTTTAAAAAATCAGCGGGTTCCCATATTTGATTGAGTTTTTCTCTGAGTATCCGTAGACAGTCTTTATATGAACCGCAAAAATTCCAAATCGATTGTACCCCAAATTTGCGATTTAAAAATGTTTGTCTAGCGGTTTGCATGCGCGCTTAATTGGTTCTTTTTAGGCTCGAGTTTGGACGGTTTTGAAAAATCAGCGATTATTAGATTTGAGTGTTTTTTTTTATGAGTATTCTTAAATACTCTTTCTTTGAGCTGCACAATCGCTTGATTGATAATTTTCAGGCTCGCGTTTCGAAGGTTTTAAAAAATCAGAAGGTTCCCATATTTGATTGAGTTTTTCTCTGAGTATCCTTAAACAGTCTTTATATGAGCCGCAAAAATTCCAAATCGATTTCATGTCTGATTTAAAATTTAGAAACATTTTTCTACAGCTTTACTTGAGCTCTCCACTAGTTTTTTCAAGCCTCGAATGTGGAAGATTTTCAAAATTCGGCGGCTTCCTATATTGCTTTTTTTCAAGATGTCCCTAGACACCTTTCTTGTGCGCTGTAAAAATTTCTAATCGATATATAATTGATTTTTTTCCTTAATATTCTCATGATTATTTTATTGTCTGTTTTGGCGTTTAAAAACGAAGCGAATTGTGATTGAAAGTTTACTGTAATTGTCCATGAATATTTATGCAACTCAAGTGGCTAATATTAGCAGTTTTAGTTAGTCAACTTGAGTCTTAGATTATCTTGTTCTAGTCTTTTGAGCCGCACTTTTCTTTGACTGACTCAAAAAAAAAATCGATAACCGGCTGAAATTTTTATTATTTAGGGCAAAATATGGAAATCGCTTCAACCTAATTTCCTGCTCTTTAGAACCCCGCCGCTGGTCATTTTGTGCGCACCATACCTCTGCACCTTATGTATTATTCAATAAAGGAAATCAAACCACAAAGGGTGCATTCGATACAAACGACCACAAGTACACTTCACAAAGCAGTGGTCGAATGAAAATTCGACAACCGAATTATTACGTATTCATAAATCTGAAACTTTTATACTTACAGCTGACGTCCAATGTTTGGCTTTCTTCACTTTTTCCAACTGCATTGTGCACTTCGCACTTGACGATGGCGTCGTGCTGTTTTCTGGACACATTTCGTAAAACCTGCAACAAATATTTATTTAATCGCCAGAAAATAAAATTACGTAGTTAATGAGTAACACGTAATTCTACTACCCTGCAGACTTGAAAACTTCTTTGCTTAAGTTGACTAATTTCAGCAACATGTTATCGTTATACCCAATTAGATCCAGCATAATATATTGGATCGGATCCAACTTTTTAGCTTCCTTTTACAGGACTTAGTAGCTCCTTTCACAAGTTTGAGATCATGACGAAGTTCATTTAACACTTTTATAGCCTTATGATAGTTGTTTTCCTTGCTAAAAGCTTTTAGTGACTTTGGAAGTTGAACGCATTTGTTTCTGGTATTACTTGTTCATTTAGCATACAAATCAGAAAGGCAACCTTAGTTATAAATCAAACACTCCTAAGCAAATAACATTGGAAGTGACAATAGCTTATCTAGAATAAAATATATAATAAATTGAATTTCACTTTCCATCTACGTTTCCCAGCTTGTTTTTTTCTATCACCCATAGTTGCATGCATCAACATATGAACTTACCAGCTCTTTTGTAAAGTCCCCAATAATAGGTTCGTCATTCATAAACCATTTGTATGAAACATCAGGCGGGTTCGCGTCTGCCTTGCATCCTAATCGAATTTCGGATCCTTCAGGAATCTGTCCATTGGCATTCATTCCAGAGAGAAATGTAACCATTACCTTCGGAGCGTATTTCACCTGGAAAAGGCAACGAAAATTGCACACAAACTGCTCCTGGTTTGTTTCAAAAGTCGCAATAAAAACCGGGAAATCACGAAATTTAATAACTTCTTCAACAACAATGCAAACAGTGGCTGTTTTACTATCGCGAAAAAACATCACATCAATCAACTGCCTGCTCGACAAGACAGAACGTATTTGTTTGTAAAGGCCGCTTTACGTCTGTTTGTGTCTGTTTTGGGAAACAGAAAAATCCAATTTGCACAAAAACGAGATACGTGTTAAACTTTTGATATTACATCTTTATCCAGTAATAAAACGCTTTAAAGCAAACGGCATTTTGTTGCTTTGTCACCGCACTCTAATTGCGTTACAGGCGATCCGTTGTTTCAGACAACTTTTATTCCGCCGGCATTTTGCGAAGATAAAAGGAATTTACCCCAGAATTGCAGCATAGGGGCAATAATGAGCAAATATGTCTTCCATTATTGTCTAAGTTTTGCCGTTCCTCGGCGTCAAGGGAAATTAATGTTGTTTATGTTGATTTTCACACGTTTTTTGCATCAATTCAGATTAGAAGTTTGCCATCTATTTTCGAAAAAATATAGTGAAGGCCAGTTTTTTCACAGATAAGTATGCAAACGCGACACTGGGATGTTGTTATAAGAAGATTTCTTCATTAACATTATGCAAATATCCATTGCTTGATAAGAAAATCCACTTAACACACCTACTTTTCATCCTATTTTTCCAGTTTGCAAATAACTATTCCAAAAGCGGAAACTCAAGTTCATTTACACAAAATTAGCAAATTTCATATTTTGCATTTCTTCTGCTTCTGTGGAGGAAAGTCATTTTGAAAATTTGCCTCTGTTTTCCATCGCATAACTTAAAGAGAATGGACAAACTTCTGCTATTTATTATAGTTTTCCTTGACCCTCCGCTCGCTCTGATAGGTTTTATACAGTAAACGGCTAAATTATGGAATAAATTCGATATAAATTCAGATCCTAATAGGTTTTGTGAATATTGCCTTCGACTCGTTGATTTATGTTTTCAATTTTGTGTCTTTTTACGAAAAATCAACCACGTTTTTACTCGCATAGGTGAATTTTTTAAACAAAACAATGAAATGTGTGTTTCTGATTTGTCTCTGTATTTTGCGACTCTCAATAGAATCTGGAAATTTTCGGAACTCGAAAGGTTTAAGAAAAACCGGATAAAGTTGCAAAAAAATTCGAATCATGTTTTTGTACATCTACTCTCAATTTCACTAATTGCAGATTGCCTAATGGCACCTTCTGAATACTTTGCATTAAGTGAATTGCCGTCTGTGTTTCTGCAAAGCCATTTAATAAGACTAAAAGTGAGTCCCATTTCACATAAATGAACAATAATTATCTACGAGAAATATTTAGCTAAGCGAAAAAACTTCAGTACAGTTTTTCTGAGTCATTTGAAAGGTCCAGTGGCTACAATTTTCATGATGCTTCATATAAAAAAATCCTCGAGAAATGGACGAATAAGTTGGGATTTTGTCGTCTTTAGTGGCCATTCGATCGCCTTTTGTGAACTTCTTGGACGCGTAATTTCGTCCTCTCATAACATTCAAAATTAATGGATAGTTTTATGGAAATGTTTCATATTTGCTGATATTACGAAGTGATCAATCTATTAATACGAGTTTTTTACGAGAAAGTATTTAGAGCTTCTCTACGTCGTGAAGATTTCAAATTGATTCTAGGTGGGAGTTATTAATATTTGTTTAGAGCTTTGCAAGAGCTTTTCACTGCTTGTTTCAGGTTTGGGTTTGGAAGGTTTTAAAAAACCAGTATGTCCATGGAATCTATTGACATTTTTTCTGAATGTTTTTAGAAGCTCGTTTTATGTGCTGTGAAAATTTCATATTGATTTTATGTTTGGTTTGGGAGTTAGAAATATTTCTCTAGAGTTTGATTTTTTTCCTCAATACTTTAATACAATTTTTCTATGCGCTGCAGAAATTTCAAATCGATTTTACATCTGGATTGAGATTAGGGAAAAAAATTCTAGAGTTTATTTTTAATTGAGATTTACATATTTTCTGAATATCCGTAGACACTTTTTCTATGAGTTGCAAACATTTCAAACAAACTTCATGTCTGATTTGAGAGTTAGAATCATTTTCGCGGCTGTTTGCATAAGCTCTTGAGTGCTTCTTTTCAGGCTCGATTTTGGAAGTTTTTGAAAAATCAGGGGCTTCCTATAGTTAATTGTTTCCGAATATTCTTACACACGCTTTTTATGAGCTGCAAAGTTGCAAATTGATTTTGTGCCTAGTTTGAGGTTTATAAATATTTTTCTGGAGCGTTGCATGAACGCTTGATTGTATCTTTTCAGGCTCGCGTTTGGACTGTTTTAAAAAATCAGCTGGTTCCTATATTTATATTATAAATATCCATAGACACACTTTCTATGAGCTGGAAAAATTTCAGATTTACTTTAAGCCGAGTTTCATTTTTTCCGAAATATTTTTAGACATCCTTTCTGTGCGCTGAAAAAAACGTAATCGATTTTACTCATCGTTTGAGATTCTGACATAAAACTCTTGCCTATTTTTTCCAGATTCGAGTTTTGAAGATTTTAGAAAATTGACGAGTTTCCATATTTAATACATTTTTTCCGGAATAACATCAATCGCTCATTCTAGGTGCGGGAAAATTTTAAATCGATTTTATGCCTGATTTTTTCTTTATGTTTTTTCTTTTATGTTTTTCTTTATATTTATTTGTTTCCTGTTTCTTTCCAGGCTCGAGTTTGCAAGGATTTAAAAAATCAGTATGTCCAAAGATTCGATTGATTTTTCTTCTGAATACCCCTAGACGCTCTTTCAAGATGTTGTAAAATTTGGGTCTACTTTAGGGGTCACGTTATATAGAAAATGAATCGGTGCTCATACCTCTTTCACCTCTGGTAATGTATCAATAATTTTATTAGAAAAAAATCTTTTATGCCGCTGCGGAAAACCCATTCATTATAATTTTCCCATTTTCGTCAGAGAACACTCTGCGCGTGCTATAATGGTAGCACGCCATTTGATGTTCTGTTATTTCTTTTCTGGAGGAGGGTAATAAAACGGGATATTCAGGGCTCGCGAAAAATGGAGACGGAATGCCATGTGAAGAAATTGCCATTAAATATTTACAGCGGCGTGGCAAAACGTTTATTTTATCAACAGCGAACGGTTTTGCCATCGAACGATCAGACATTGATGGGCAATAAAATATTTGTCAAAACTGGGCAGTTTTAAACAATCGCTTTATCTTGAGAGGACAAAAAACAGCGCTCAGGAGTAAACCTATTTAAGCTTTCCAATGAATTACTCCAAATTATGTCGGGTATTACAGTGCCGGAAGCCGCTCTATCTCTATCATAAAAGTTTCGGTGGAAAAAAGCTCTCTGCGAGCTTTTGTCAGAAGATATAAAAAGCCAACATGTAACAAAACGCTGGAATCCCTGTCCTAATAGCGCAACGGTAATGGAATAAAGAGCGAACAAAACGGAGACTTTTGAACAAATCACATGGACTGAAATTAATTGCTTACCTCTAGCTTGAGTTTTGCACTTCGATGGGTTCGTTCAGCGGTATTTTGAGCTTGGCATGTAAAAGTGGTGTTGTGGTGCAGTTTCCTCGGTGTGAGTTTCAAAATCGATTTGGCAGTGAATCTACGACTATCCGCCGACTTTTCGATTATGTATTCGTTGCCTTCGGTTAGGACATTTCCTGCAAACAAACAAACCCTTGTATAACAGATGAGAAACTTTGCGCGCGATAGAATAAACGGAAGCTAGTTTTTCGCACCAGTTTCCTTGAAATATCTGTTTGGGGGGATTTATTATTTTGCTAGGGCAAAATCTCCGGATTTCTAAAAACTTTATTCATTTTCGTTTTACCAGCGCGAAGAACAGTAAAATTATTATGCAAATTTAATTAAAGTAGTTTCAAATTGGAAATGGAATTAACAGCGCTTCTCAAGGAACGTTTTCATTCATACTGTCCTTATGCTCTTTTTAAGTGCAACGATGCTTTTTCAGTAAAAATAGCCCGGCAAGATTAAGGCTTCGGATTACTAAACTTTAGTTAATTAAATCCCAATTTACTTTTTTCTTTTCATGGAATTTAAATGGGATATTTGACTTAGTGAAAAAGAAACGGTCATTGCTTGAAACTGATGAGTTTTTCAAGCGTTTAGGCTTCAAGGAAGCACCTTGGAAGATGCTGCAAGCCTTGTGCATGCGAAACGTTAAAAATAAATGCTTTTAGACGACGAAAACCTCACCAGTTTCGGTACTAGAAACGCCATGAACAATTTCTAGTTAATTTTTCAAACTTCAAACTAAAGCTAAGCAGCAATAAAGGTAAGAGGCACTTGCCTAATTTGATCTTGTTCACATTGTCACTGGCTGCAGCACACTAACAAGTTAATCCAATATCGTTAGCCAGTAACAAACCGAATTAAAAGACCATTCATTATCCAAGACCTTTAAAATTTTGAGCAGCTAATCTGTCACAACGCCTGCTCAATTTCAGTGTCGGTTCTGCATAAAATATAAGCATAAACGAAAGGAGTGATGCAGACCATATTAAGCATATACAGTGGCCATGCGGAGGTGTTTGCATCAACAATATAAATTCTTTAAATTATGCAAGCCATTCTATCCCATTCTGTTCCGGCCAACCACATTTCCCTTTTAATCTGGAAGAGATCGATACTAGACCGCACACTATCATCAAGCTGTTGCTTTTGAAACAGAGACCAATTTTCACGTTAGCCCTCGGTCAATTTGACACATCGTGTACCCAATATCAAATGAAGTTGATTTAGGGACCCGATCCATTAGCACTCTCAAACAAATAAATAAGCCGTTTCGTTGTTATTCGTATCACTCACGTCCGTGCTGATCGAACAATATTTGGTGCATCGATTTCACATCGCATCACCACATATATGCCGGATTAAATCAAACAAAACCACACGAAAGGTTTTGCCAAATTGGGAATATTAGCTTTTCTGGAAAATCTGCCTCAAATAGTGAAACTTGTGTTGTTTTATCTATAAATTGACATTCTGATGACGAATCGTTAGCAAACAAAGCGGCGGGACCAAAAGATTATTTCACCCCAATTAAACTGTGATTTTTGGTGATCTCGACTGAGCATAGAGGTTGTCTGAAAGCAAGAAGTAAAAAATGTCCGATCAGCTCAGACTTTTTATTTGAATATAAAAAATGTACAAATAAACTCACAACGTTGATTGAGATTACTAAGGAAAATTACTACCAAATAGAACTAAACTCTAATACCAAAGAGGACTTTAGGAGGAAAACTAATTAATGAGAAGAGCGATTTCTTAACTGATAGTAAAGAAGTTGCAAATAAATGTAATGAACATTTTATCAATATTGGCCAAAAGATGAAAAATGAGATAAAAACACCGACTGTCAAGTACGCATTCAAACTCCTCACCATTTTTAACTCCAGTAGATGAGAATACACCAATTTTTCTTAACACTACTCCCAAAGTTGTAGATAAGTTCTATATTGTTGAGGCGGATTCATTTTTTACAAACTTCTTTTTGGGTATTTCGCCTCAAAAATTTTTGTCTTTAAAAAAGACAGAATTTCCTCACGTCTTTTATTACAGATTGATAAATAAAAACTACTCCCAAAAATGCGTAAAGCAAACTCCTTATTATAAGTCTTTAGTCGAATCAGTTGGAAAATTTGGGATATCGTTCTGGGTATCAACGCATCAAACAAATTTAGAGCCGCTGAAAGTCACTCAATTTCTTTCACTTAAAACTCTGTGTTTTAGGGTACAACAATTTGATGAGGGAGATATTTGAAATAAATTCTCTATATATCCAATCCACAATTTCAACTACAAAGTATAATTTTATAAATGCATAACTCTATGATTGTTTAACTTTATAGATGAGAATAAATATTACAATTATTTAGGAATTTTTTTTCGTTCTACTTCATAGAGTTTTCCGTTGGTTTCTATCAACGACCTAAACATTTGTGGTCCTCCTTCAATCACTAGGACTCCATCCATTTCAGTTAAAAGCAAATTAGAGCTAAAAGTGAAAGAAATAATCCGAGTGCTGATGGTTATGTGCTTTTATTTAATTTGATCTTGTTTTCTTGCTTGCTCCCTAATCTGCGTGGGCACACTTATCGTTCGCTTTCCACGCCTGGAAAACGGTGACGAGAACCAGAAGAAAGGCCTAGTCTTAAATAATAAATACCTTAAGAGAGTTAAGCGATATACTGGCCTCCTTAATATTAAATGTGACCTTTGGATGCTCAGTTAGTAAGAGTTTATTTAAGAAAAAACATTCATATTCTCTATGCTGACAAATATTCCCAGTGCTCATGCATAACTAATCAGCTCTGAAAGGTGGCGCGTCTGAAATGAAGGTGTTATGCAGAATGAACATGCCAGTAAATATTTTAAAGGCAGCAGTGAAGTTTTCAGTCTTGCATACAAATAAATGAATAAAAGCTCGCTGAAAATCGTAATTTTGTTTAGTGCGACTGAGGCCTGACAGTAAGCTGTAGTTTTTAGAATATCAAAACACATTCTTCCCGATCAATGCGGTTGAAATTATTATAAATTCATCACACATTTTAGACTTGGTTTAGTTCAGTATATTTAGTTGATTGCAGCACTTACCATGTCCATCTATCCAAGTGATTTCCGCCGCCGGTTTTCCTCCAGAACTGATACACTCCAACTCAATTTCTCTGTCCTCTGTGGTCACCAAATGGTCTCCTTGGGCAATTTTTGGTGGATCTGGCGGTACGAGGACAGACAGCGTAGCAAAATTGCTTCTGATACCTTTAAACACACAAACATTTGCATTCAGAAAACCGTTTTACGATACTTATTTCTAGTGATGAGCGAAGCACAATCAAAATGTCCAGACTTGGTCTTGCTGACAAAACGATGCTTGTTGCAAGAAACTTGCAAGTCTTGCTTTTAAATAAGACGTGAAATTAAACAATTTGTCTTTCAATAATAAAATTAAGGGATAATAGTAACCAATACACAACAAAAAATTGTTTTTAGCTAAAAAAGGCTGTTGTTTTTTGGTACGCGTTTCTTATTATGTGGAAAATTAGGAGTTTTGGAAAATGCAACAATTTTATGATTATATTTAATACGTGTTTTATTTTTCAGTTCAAAATTATGTGCAATGTGCATAAAACATATATTTTAAAGGTAAAAAAAAGAACAAATATTTGTATTAACTACGCGCCGATTTAAGCAATCTAGAAGAGAACGAAAAACATCTGGAACCAATTATATGTTAACCAAAAAATCTGTTAAGCACTGTTTTATTTATGTCCTACTTGTTCAAAGTGTTCATTCCTAATTTTAGGTTTTCTCACTTCAAGTGATTCGTTGGAATGTTAATCGTTTAAATTTCGGTTCAATTTTATTATCATATCTACGGGCTTTGCAAGACTCTTGTACAAGTTTTGGTCTCGTTCTTGCGTGCATAGTCTTGGTTCTGGTTATGCAAACCAAAAGAGTGCAAGACTAAGATCAGTCTCGCTCATCACCAGTTATACTATAATGTATACAGTAAAAGAAGACAGCAAAATTGCCTTTCTGAATTTCTTTACCTGGTTGTCCTTGAGGTCCAGGAGAAACTTGGCATTGATACCGGGCGTCATCATCAAGCATTACTGGATAAATATCCAAAGAATAATCGCCTGAAACAATAAATGAGACAGTTATGAGCCCTAAATCGTCTCGTTTGAATCAACATAATTACAATGTTTTCCAACAATTTGTTGCATCAATTTAGAGAGCAATAATCAAAGCATTACTTCGGATAGAAGGAATTCGAAAAAATTAGATCCGGAGACCTTCGGTAATCAATTTTTCGCCACCTTAATTGAACGACCGGTAAAAACATTCACTATTTCACTAATAGTTAATAATTCTTTGCACGCAATTGCTGTATATCTCGTAATTTCGAGATAGCCGGAGGTCCAGAACCACTTAACCATTTACAAATATCGGTAGCAAAATCGATTAGATCTGAACCTATCTGTCGGCTTTGTAGCGCAATTAGTTCCTTATCTAATAGATTTTTTCTCGGCCAGAATCCATCCAACTTAATACGGGTAAATTAAGAGCAATCTGGGCCCCAGATAAGTAACTCTACCATAAAACCGCAGATAACACAAATTGGACCGTCCTAATCTATCTATGGTTAATTTAGTTCCAGTTATAAGAGCGGTAAATTTTTATAGTTATTACTGAGCATTAGTGCTTAGATGCCCTTCGGCCACAACAAACTGACTAGAATCCACTGAAATCCATGTAAGCGGCTTATGTGCTTTGAAGAAACCAAATCTAAATGTTCAAGCATTTGAAATGTGAACCGAAACCTGTGGGCTTCATTTAGGTCCAAATGATGATTTTTAAATAAATTTCCTCTAGCATTTCCAATAAATATCAAGTGCTTTAGGTTTATTGGAAGTTGATTTAAAGCCGAAAACGAATTACATGATTGATGCTTTCTGGTTCCTTAAACCGTTTCCGATGTGCAGTCGTTGCGACTTAATAACTCCGAAATACCTTAAGACCTTTTTAGTTCGTAAAAGTACAGACTTTATTGCAATGTTAAGGATACGTTTTATGCCCTAGAAAGCCGAACGCTCCCCAGTACTGAAGACTATGAACGAAAAAATTGCTTGGGTTTGCTCTTTTGTAATAAGGAAGCATGTTGGAGCGAAAATATAAAGCAACTCGTAAAAAAAGCGGTTATGGGCTTTTCCAAGTACGCCGTGCAATGAGGTTAAAGGTTTTATAAAAATAACGAAAGTAGGTAAAGGTGTAAAAGTTTCGCGGTTTTTTTGCCTGGTGTTGAAAGCCACTGATCTCGCATCTGAAGTAGACTAACGAAGCAGCGATTTAATTTGCCAGCTTTAGTTGGAAAACCACTGGCGATCGACCCAGGAAGTTGGGAGCTGATGAAAAGAAGTTTCCAGCTGGATAATGATTTCTGTTTGGAGAAAGTACATTTGTTCAACTGCAACCCATGTAAAACTCTGAAGTTCATTGCATTCATTGAATATATGAAATGTCGTATTTATGCAGAGAAGAGATATCTTCAATGTTGAGGCTGAATGATTTATGTGATCTTCAGTTGAAAACTTCAGCCTCAGCGTTCGTCTGAAAATGATTGGGGATGCTGGCAGCTGAAACGTTGTGATAAAACCATATTTGTAAGACTGTGAAAGTCCGAATAAACCATTCAACCTTTTTCTGATACAGGCCTTCGACCTTGATCCACTCAATCGTTTTTTGGTAGTAAAAATTCCTGGCATACGTAGCTCTATTAAACCCTCAAGTTATCCGTCGCCTCGAGTGCTTTTCTACTAAACGCAATGAAACAAGACACATGTTTCCTTCATCGATCAAGTTTTTATTAAAACGAGCACACACACCATTTTATGCGGCAATTCTGGAATATATCCTGGACGAGTTCCATATCCAGGCGGTCCCTCGAGGGCGGTGAAAAGCTGTTATGTCACTGTGTTACTTGGAGCATCCCTTCGTGGGCTGTGCAGGCCGAATTCGTCCCTCGACAGTGGACGATATTTAAATTCTGTTTCTGTTTGTGTTTCGGATTGTGTAACCGTGTACCGAGAAGAGTGGCCGAGGCGAAGCTTAAAAGCTTAGGAAGAAACTAGGAGTTTGCTTTTTAACGGTAAAGAGCATATAAACATTCGAATCGTTAGCGATGACTAGGGTTTGCTTGGATCATTAATGAAGCTTATATGTAATTCCATTTCGTTTCCAGTGCAGAGTTCACGTCGACAATCCCGACCATTTGGAAACAGTTTGAAAGTGAAGGTGCCCACATTGTTGTAAGCGGACAAAGGTAGTCTCTCAGCATCGTAAACTGAAGCGTTCAGCAGCACTATTAATGGACGATAAAATAAAGTTTTTAATTAAAATGTTTTCCTTCAAGTTTCAAAGGTAGTAAAATTGAGGGCCTGTCGTAAAAATAGACAATAAATTCGGTTACACCGGCAAAAGCAATCAATGGCTTTAAGAGCTCTCTGGCCCTTCGAAAATTCCATGGAATTCCTACTGCTGGGATTCACAGTTTCAGGATTTTTACTTTCAAAATATTTACTTTGATTTGTTTGCTTCTTCATTAAATCTTCATTAATTTTGTTTTCCACCCTTTTTTAACTGGATGTTGCTACTTAAAGAACCAGCTGCACCAGATCCTCTGTTTAACACACCAAATGGTTCATTTGTTCATGTTCCCATTGTCTTGTTGTTTAAACAAAAATGTTTTTTTTGTTTATCACAACGTTTCGGCTGGTATGATCTTCCACGATTTCCAGGCGACTCGAATAAACAATTCAACTTCCAACGTTGTCTACCGCAAGTTTAAACAAACGTTGAAGCTGAACCTGCGTTTAACACCGACTCTAATTGAATGTCCCAGGATTAATGGTTTCAACAACAACAAGGAATGGAGAGTACAGCAAAAATTTGTTAATGTCTACTGGCAGCTAATAAGATAAATCCCATTGGACACACATCGAGCGTGTCCAAAGTTCCTACATGACCAATTTGTATGCCAGAAGCGAAAGCAGCAGGGTCACATTGAGGGAGATCAGAGGCAAACTTAACCGATTTGTTACGGTTTTGCTGATTAAAGTTCCGCAAATGACGGTTCAGAAACTTGCAAGACGTCACTAGATCGCGCCGTTATAACGAAATGATTTCCTAAAGCCGGCGCTGTTATCGAATAACATTTTCTCGACTAATTGCGAAAACAAACAAGCTGATCAGCACCTTTGAGCTGAAAATTCCCCGAACTGCCTCGTGTTCACACCTTACTTTATCCGGTTAAGACAAATCAAACTCGCTGTAGATTTTGTCAACTTTGTGCCGTCGACTTTGGAACGTGTTTGGTTAAATTATGAATGGTAAATATGGAATTTTAGCGCTGTTTTAACTGCGACTGGATAATTTTGGATTAGGAAAGGGGCGCAAGTTCCACAGTTGTCTTTTGGAACTGGGCAACAGTTTAGAAGTTACATATTAATACACTTTTGTTGGTCTGTCGCGTGATTTTTCACATAATCGGAACAGAATAACGTTGGGTAACTTCTTGCATTGTCCATCCCAGTAACTTAATTTAGCTGCTATTTAAAGCTTCAACATAAAATCGTTCGCAATTTTCTTCGAAAGTCCCCCCTTGACGACATTTGTTATCAAAAGAAGAAAATATTCGACTAAGAAAACTCTTCTTTGGATCGCTTACCGAGAAAACCAACAAGATCCTACTGAGCCTTAAGACTCTAGCCCAGACGTGTTAACTTAATGCTCATGAGAAGCCGTAAAAGAAAAGTTATCAGGCCTCACAACTAATCCAATGTAATAGCTGCAATAATAATAAACATGCCATAGAACTACTTATATCTAATTGATCTAATGCCGCCTCTCAGAAAAAGCTTCTTATTGGATTGGTCGAACTTTTTCATCATCTAATTTAAAAATAATTGGCCCAATTACTTTTAAGCCTCCGTGATGTTTCTTTCCGGTGTTGGAAGATACGAAACGGTTTTTTCCTTCGTCCATTATTATCAAAGATAAAATGTGAGATATCCCGCTTGGATCAAATCGGTCCGAAAATTATATTGAACATAATTCGCAGGCAGGTGAAATAAATTGGTTACAATATTACAATATATCCGTATGTGTCGAACATGTTTATTCTGTTGTCCGATGAAAGTCATGTGGATATAATTGGAAAGGCTTGTTTGTGTTTGTTCAAGTCCAGGCTGTTTGCATCAAGATAGGATAGGGCCGGCCCTATATTGTTAAACTGTTAGCTGTTAGTTTGTTCACTCAATAATGATGCACGTTTTATGGCTATATTTTCGATTTTATTGTCTGTTTTCCAGCTCAAATTAAAACACGTACTTTTGAAGCGTACATTTGGTACTTATCCACCGCAAGCTGTTAACCTTTAACATTTAACCGGTTAATTCGTATCGGGAGAGCCGGACTGGAATTCTTTCGACCTTTTCGTTCCAATCGATACTTTTTGTTCAATATATCACAAATCCTGATCTGACACTGGGCCCCGCGAAGGGCCATTATTTACCCTTTCCATTTCGTTGGCATTAGGGCTATTTACTGATAAATAGCGACCAATTATTAAGATTAATTGTAATTGTTATGAAACTCAGCCGGAGCAGAGTTTATCATCCAAAACGGTCATTCTCAAGCTCTATGAGGAAGCTTCAGCATTGCTGTAATTTGTTTCAGAAGAAATAACAGGAAAAAGCGTTAATGTTTGAGACAAATACACCTGTAGTCGGAAATAATGAGCACAGCAGTAGAACGCATCATTGAGAGAAGTGAAAGAAGACTCAAAAATAGAGCCGAAGATCCTGGTAATAAAGGAAGTTTCACATACCTTGACAGACTAACACGGAACTTTGCAAGTTAAAATCAACAAGAAACCTCACGTTTACAGTTTTGTGGGTGACACAACATTGATATCTCACATAGGAGCCGGACGTGGTGGCAAGACACTTGCAGTATGAACTACATGAACATACAAACAATGAATTTTACATGGAAACTGAAGGAAAATGCGTTCAAAACTTAGACAATTCTGTTTAAGAACGAAGAATTCTTGTGTCGTCGACACAGAAGGAAATTGAGACGTTGAGTTACTTCGAGGTAGATGTTTGGCGTAAATTTGACATTGAGTTTCAACCAAACTCAGAAGGCTCATAGTGCGGCATCAAAACAAACCATGTATGTACCTACTTATGAATTCGAGAAAGTGGAACAAGTAAGAAAAACAGAACCCTGAGATGCATTTAAGGTAGGTGTTAATTTGCCTAATCGTTTGAAGCTTTTGTGATATAATAATCTGTAAAATTGTAATCCTTTTCTGTTGTTTCTGCTCCCTCTTCAGCGTTTCTGAATCTTCGACTTGGAAAAAGCCAATCCTTTGACGTCCTTGCGTCTGCTAATGGAAGAAAATGGTAAAACATAGCCAACTGAAATATTCTTGAACGTTTCAAGTGGTTTCTCCGTTTAAATTGGCATTTATTTGAACTTGTTCAATGTACTAAATAGCGTGTATTAAAACTATTACAGCTTTGAAAGTGACTGTCGCATTATTTTAATTAAACCACGTTAATCGTGACAGAATTTTAAGGCATTGGAATGTAAATTCATAGCGGCCCGTGTCTAGCTAGCGGTTAATCTTCTAATTGCGAATGCCTTTAAATAGGTCGCTATTATGCATTTGAGTTTTTATTCAGAAACTTCTAACGGCATTACGAGGGTCGAGTCAAACATTAAATTTAATTTCTTTTTAAGGCCCGGTCATATAATTAAGAGGGCGCGCACAAATTCAGTTAACGTAAATTAGGAACAGTTAATAGTTAAGTTAAAATTTCGACGTCGGTGTTTTTTGCCGTTTTCTCAACGCAAAAGCTCGGCAAGAGTTTCCCACTCTTCTTCGCCCCGAAATCCAGAGATGAATCGAAACAACCGGCGAAGTTGGACCCGCGCAAGGAATTTAAATTGTTTTGTAAATTGTGTTTGTTTATTCTTCTAAGGGCAATCTCTTTTAAAAGTGTTTCGCAAAAGTTTTCGATTTATTTTTCCTCTGGGGAGTTACTTACTCTTACCAATTACACGATGTGCTTACTTCGCTTTCACAGTTATTGTCCACGAAGGACAATGCGTTTTTAATGAAAATATGTTTGTTGGTTAAGAAACTTTCGACTTTCTGGCATGTTTTGAATCTTTAAAAATTGGGATCGCTCTCGAGAAAGAGTTTTCTGATTGTTAAAGGAAACGCAAAGACTAAAATTAAATGTAAATAATTTTTTCCCGACTTTTCACAAGCACAGTTGGTTTGCATCTTCAGCAGAGATTGGTCCCGAAAGCCTGAAAAACCCACCAGTTCCAAGCAACAACCGGGAAAACCTAACGTTTTTGAAAATGGGAAAACAATTTTTACCAGGAAATAATTATATTTCGTGTTTTACTCCAGAGTACTGATTCAGCTGAACAGCAGCTGAAAATAGAAGGAAAAATGCGGCGCATAGATATTTGCGGATATAAAATAAAAATATTAATGTACCGCAATTAATAATCTTAAGTTGGCCTTACAAAAAGCCCCTGAAGGAATCGGCTACTGTCTCAAAATGTATGTTTTGACCCAAATGCGCGCTCTTCTTTAAACATTCGTAGTAAGTAGCAATTTGTAATGTTCATCACATTTAGAGCACATTTGGCTCTAAAGGTGCTGTAGGTTTTGTCAAAATCACCCAGTCGCTTCCTTTGTGGAGGATCATTAACATTTACCATCATCGTATGACATTTTCATAATTTTCGATTATAATAATTCGATTATCTCTGTTAAAAATTGGTGTAGTTTCGTTGCGTTAAAGCCTTCAAAAGCGCAGGTAAAATAAAAATCTTGAACAGATGGCAGAGCGAGTTGGCAGTTTTTAATTTGAAATCTGATGGCTGAATCGCTGTTATTAAAGTGCGAATACTAACCAAAGGAATCTAATTAAAACTGTATTTTTGCCATTTTCCCACCGAGCAATTTGCTGATATTAAACTATTTTCGTTGTCGCAGTGTTTTCGTGTCCAGGGGTGGCATATTACGGCGTCATGCCGTTTTACTGCCTTTATAACCATTTGAAGCGAAATGGAAAAAATAAGGCGAGCGAACGCAGTTATGAAACCGCGCTAGATGGGACGTTTTAATAAACACTTTTATTTTGCATAAGATTGCAAACTGGAGCAGATTCGGATCACATTCCTGCCACCTTCGGATGGAGTTTTGTTAGCTACGACCCTTCGAACCCCATGGGTCCATTATTTTTTTCCCATGCACTCACTCGAGATTTTCAAGTCGACTTTGCCGGTGATTTTTTGCCGGCGACACGTCCTTGATTTGGTCCTTAAAAATGCCTCTATCAAAACCCGACGGGGATATCAAACATTAAGAGCCACTTTAACACATGTCAGGTGAAGAGATTCGGGGCACTTTTAAGAGCACTCCACTCGCTCCCTTCTGGGCTCGAATACAAAATTTTACTTATAAATGTGCGCCTCGACGAAGAGTGTATACTTTCTGCGAAAAAACTATATAAAGGGTTTTTTGTTGATGCCGGAAAGAATAGCTTTATGAAATTCCTTGTCTTGAAAGAACATTCTTTCCTCCTCTCCTAGCTGGTAAGTGTTACAGCTTGAAATTCTCGTTCTTTAATTTCTTAAATCCCTTAATCTACCTCTTTAATCCCCAGTAATCTACCAATGTATTAAAAAGCATATTCTACACAGCGTGGTGCTCAACTAATGCGACGAAATTCATTAATATTGTTTAAGCAAAAATATTGCGTTTGAAGCAAATGTTAATAGTCTCCGAGCTACAAGGTGGGAAAGCGTAATTGAGTGTCGTTTATTTTTAAGGGTTCTTAACCAGTTTTGCTATTACCGAAAAAATGTTTTGGGGGTTTCTTGGATCGAGTTGGGCGAACGAAATATTGCCAACAAAAAAACCAATATTTTAAAATCCAATACAAAATAGAACAATTTGGTTCCTCGATCTGGAAAACCCCCAAACGCAAAATTTCTTGGTAGCAGTTAATCCGGTTATAAACTCCTGGTTCCAATATCAGTTTTTGCCTAAAACTTCAGCTAACTAATGCGCTTTGCCATTATTACTGAAAATAGTTTCATTTGCTATACACCATCACGTTCAACCACTTGTAGTTTATTGGATGCCATCGAATGCAGTGGCCAAAGTGGAACAGAAGAGAAAAATGCTGATAAACAAAACCATATACGGTAATTGTGCCGCACCTCTATAAACGAAAATCCGATTAATGATCAATGGAAATAATCTGTTGCAACACATATTGGTCCTGTATGAGGGCACTTTGAAGCGCAAATAAATTTAGTCTCGTTTGTCATAGGCATCGATTGACGGATCAACGAACAATAGGGGCAATTGTGAACAGGGTCTTAACTAGAAAATACATCGAGCTATATTAGAGGAGATTATAAACTCATCAATCTTGGCGGCATTTAAGGTGGTTTTGGGCATAGCGAAAAACATCATTAATAAAAGTTGAGCAAAAGACGGATTAGAGGATTTCGTCATTACGAGTTGCTCGATGATTACAAGATTTTTAACGCGGTTTCCATCGACTTACCTTCTTCATCGCTACCGACCATCGAGTAGCGGTCGAATCCACTCAGGTTCCGGTGCGTTCCCAGCCCAAAGTCGTCCTTCGTCCATTGCAATGTCCCGATCTTTCCAATTACCCGACAGGGCAAAGTTACCCGCGATCCCACTACAGCTGTTTGATCCTGCGGTTCCATCGCAAACTTTTGCTCCACAGCCTCCACTTTAACGTAGCAAATTACTCCTATCCGCAGGAGCAAGATGAACAATTTGTAGGCCGAAGTCATTCTGAACTTGATGAAGTTTTGGGCCGATTGGTTTTTAGCTACCTGCAATTGAAACAAGCAAATGATATGCGGAATTATATATTGTTTGGAAGAGATGCAATAGAAAGCTGGTTGATAGACACATTTTGTAAAAAGCCCTTAGACACGTCAAAGAAACGGTTCTAGATCAGAACGTCACAGTTGCAACACAAACTGTTTAGTTCCACTGGTAATAATCGCAACAATGAAAATTACACGGTACATTCTTCTGAATGTTTATGGGAAGCGAATGAAGAATCTCGGAAAAAACCTTTCATCTCGTTCCAGCACTGACCTAGGCAAAGTTTTTGCGCTAAACTTATTTTCCGACTCAGTGGTTTCCGTATTCGAGTCATTACCATTCCTTCATAGAGCCTTTTCATTAAAATACGTAATTAAAAAAGTCGCACCGGACAGTTTTTCTTCTATTTTCGTCGGCAATGCCAACTGTCGACCAGCTAATACGCTTTAAATATTTTATTCAGGCTTTTTTCTTCCCTTTTGGAGCGGAGGATGTGGGAATTAGTCCTGCTACATAAACGAAGCTTTGATTTCACTTAGAGGCCGCTCTAACAATGGACGAAAATATTAAAGACTTAATTAAAAACCGCGTAAATGTTCGGGTCACATTCTATGGTTCAACGAAAATAAAGGCCTTTTCCAAAAAAAGAAGTTTCGGCACCATTAGGTCCCGAATAAATGAAATTCACACGGTTGCGCCTCAGAATGGGAGTTTTATAGTTTTGCTGTCTGTATTAAAATGTGCATTATTAAGAGGAGATTCTCCATGGGGATAGTTGGATACTGGAGATAGTTTTTGCCGCAAAATTATATTACTCATTTAAATGCAAAATTTTGCAGATTCCATCTAGTGAAGTTGGTGAAAGTTCTTCCAATCAACCGTTCTGCTGCATATACAGGATGTCTAATAAGTCAGACGCTCTCTGCCCAGATACAGGCCCCTAATAGACGGAACAGATTTTTTTTAGATAAATTTCCATTTAGAACATTGTAGTTCAGGGCAAAAATATGGATATGGGTCGACAGCCTTTTTGCATGAGTTATATGAATTTTTGCATCTACTTCAAATCCCTTAAAATAGTGTCTTCGAACCTCATTTTGCTCTTTGAGTTCGCCAGGGTAGAGACCAAGCGGCGTACACATTCATGCTCAAATTTCTAACACCTTGTATGATAATGACGCAAAAGGTGGATCTAAAGATAGCTTGAAGCTGAAACCAGAAAAAGTTGTTCTTACTTGACATCGATAATATGATCCGTTTTCACGCACAAAACCAAAAAGGTATGGATAATGAGGGAACAATCGAAGTGACGTTTTTTGCCAAAATTTCCAATATCGTCCATAAGCCTAAAAATTAAATTTTGAATTAAAAAGTGGATCGATTAAATACAAAAATTAACAAAATATTTTTTTAAATCTCTTTTTTTCTCGAAAACTGTACGTTTTATCAACAAATCTTATTATTTCTGTTTTCGTTTCTGTTCGTACTCGTTTTCAAAATCCCAAAATCGTCTAGATCGAAATAGAATCGGAATTTTCTGTATGGGTTTCCAAAAAATATATAATTTTTAATAAAAAAATGCTTTAAACTGCTCACTGCCCAGAAGAAAAGTCGTTTGATTAAGAAAACGAATGTAGGAAAACTAAACATCGGGCTCTGGCATGGATTGTTGATATTTACTCTCAAAAATATTTTTAGTTGCTCTCAAATGCGTCAGTGAGTTTCTACACTCAGGTGAATTACAGCAAAAAGAAAGAGTGCTTAAGCCTGCTTAAAGAAATTAATGGCCTGAAAGCGACGTTCAGTGCAACATTTTCTGATCCTTGGCGAATTCTGATTGCAAAAATGGCCTTTTGGGACAAATTCAGCATAAAATGACCATCAGTATAAAAGGGTGGTTTAAAAAAAAAACGGGGGTTTTCGTAAAAATTTCCCATCGGCATGATACTCATTGAACTGAAAAAAAGTCCCAAAAAGTCAAATATTGCATCAGAATTGTACTTTTTTCAATTTTTTTCGGGAAGTTTGAGTGTGTTGTGTCAGACCAACCTAAGATTAAGTAGACGGGCAACCGATTTTTTTTATAGAAACACATGTTTTTCATCACCTTTCCCACGTTTGTCCACATTTCCAGAACTACGCCGCCCTGTATATTAATAAGTTAAGTGAAAAGAAAATATATTTGAGATTTATCCCTTTCTCGTTAAAGCCTTCAGTGCAATCTTCTAAATTTCAACGGAGCGATGAATGAGTTCGGCTCTCTCGGGCTCTCTTCCAGAAATTATTTCATATTTTTATTTCATACATGTTTCCGTTTGAAGTTTTACGCTCGTAAGCAGATACATCTAGTTAACTAAAACGGGAGGGATTGAAATGTTTAAAAAGGTCGTTCCCTGCGGCTTTAAAAATAGGATTTGTTAAAGGCCCCCGCGTGTTTCCATTGAAGAGCTTTGATGTAAGTCGGGAAAAATTTTTGTTTATTGCACCCGCGTAGGCTCGAAAATGCATTCGGATGTGTCAACGGAAATGTTAACATTTAAGTTATTAATTACTTAGGGGAATTAATTAATTTTTTAACACTTCTCAGTACAATAAAGATGGAATGGATTTGAAAAGAAAGTGGAACACACTTTGACTTTTAAATTATATTTGAACAGTTGACGTGGTTTCTTTTACATCAGAACGTAATTTCCTGAGCAATAATAATGTAATTTATGAAAGCCTAAACATAATCATCAAAAATCATTAAATAATGTAAACTCTCAACGCATTTTAAATTACCTATATAATAGTAATTGTAATAAGTAGGCTGAGTCCTCAAAGCAAATTACCCATGCAATGAACCGAAGCTGGCAGGTTTCTTTCCCTTCACTGGAAGTTGGTTTACATTGTCATTTAATAATTGATAAATGAATCAAACAAACAATTCCCGTCCACTCGAAATGGCCAATGAAATGCACGTAAAATGCATTTAAAACAATGTATATGGTATATTGATCATTAATAAATAACGAAGCCCGTTCCAATACAGAGGAGCGCGAAGCAATGTTTTGCATAAATAAATAATTTGTTTAGGGTCGAAACAGGTTCGAAAATAAGTGTGGATGTTTTGCAACAATTCGAAACATCTGTTGTTTAAACTGCAACATATATTTCGGATCAATATGGTTTATGGCATACTAATTTGAACCAGCGGCAATTTATCGGTTGAGTAAACGCACTTACACTCCACTTCCTACATCGAACCTAACCGGCCACAAAATAAAACGATCTTAATGAAGAAAAATCACAAATTGGTTTCGCCATTATCCATTACCGGCCATGAGCAGCATACATACTCGGGAAAGGCCTAATCTAATTTCGCTTTAATTGATTACACACTCCATCTCGCCTATAAAGTTCAAGATCTATTAAAAACAGATCTGGTTTTTCTTCCGGCTGCTAATATCTATTTAGCAAGCAGCTGGGAGTAAAGTGAGCTCAAATCGGCAAATTAAAAAACTTCAATTCCTTTAATTATAATTATCTATGAAAGTATTTCAGCTTCTTGAAGACAGAAGTTCTGATGTCATCACTTCGTTCCCAAAAAGCTTCGTTACACAAGCTTAACCGTAATGCAAGCGAGTAAAGGGTTAAAAGACGAAGTTAAACGGGCATGTAACATGAATTCACACACCAAAACACTGACTTTCTGGAGGCGGACTAACATGCGCATTTTCATTTATGTCGGTAATTTCGGAAAAGAATGTTTGCCAAAGCGCAAAATTAGGATGCCGGAATCCAAAACAAAGGGAAACAAGCTCTAATAAGAATACGCCCCGGCCCTTCAAGGAATGTTCTACTCAGAGGATTTTCCAGCTAAGGCGCTTGATATTTCAGTAATTATTTCGGAAGTTATTTTTCTTTAAAGAGTTCGGAGGAGCATTTAAAAGGGGAAAATCTATACTAAGAGGGGATTATCTTCGAGAGAAACCCTTGTTCCTGTTGCAGAACTTTGAGCGAAATTAACCCGACCATTTAGTGCTCGGTAATGAATTTCTGAAAATAAAACTCTTCCACTCTCGTAAATGTTTTGCCCTTTTCCATCCTTCGCAGATTGAATAGTAAAATGGACAATTTATGCTCATTCACGTCATTATTAAATTACATTCGAAACCAATTTTCTTTCTGCAATTGCTCTCGGATCTGAATCTGGAGCTCCAAATCCAAACACGGCTAATTAGAAAATTGACCCAATTTAACACGGTCTAATAAATATGAACGAATGTTGTAATCGCCGGTTTTGTTCATCGTTTAATTCGAATTTTATTGAATTCTCCAGAGAAGTGTTTGACATTAATAACTGGCCAAACTTGGGATTTAGCAGCCATGAAACCCAAGTTGGAAAATGGTCTTTTTGGCGTGTTAAAGCAAAAGAAGCTTCTGGTTTTCAAAAGCGCTAGGTGATTTTTTCTGTATCATCAAGACAGAAGATGGAAAAATACTTTTTGCTTTCATATACGTTGAAGTATGCACGTGAAATTTCGGCACTAAAAAGAGTTGCGAACGACATTGAGCGAATTGGAACCACTTGTGATTTTTGGAAAAAATTTCAAATGGAAAAATGGCTCTTTCCGAACTCTGCAGGCTCTCAGAAAAACCATTGCAATTTACAAACGAGCTTTATCGTACATTCAGAATTTTTGTACATTAAAACTGATTTCTTAGTCTTCATATTTGTCGGAATTCAAGCGAATTGGAAAAAAACTGAGATTTTTTAGAACGTTCAAACACAAGAAGAAAAGTTACACCTATTATCATCTGCTCACTACCAAACGCACAAAAACCGCCTTTCTTAAGCATATTCGAAGATTTGCGTGAAATTTCTACACTCTGAACATCAAACATCAAGCTTCAATCGCGTAATTGAAGCAAATTAAAGCAATTCCTGGAATTTTTATGAAGTTTGGAAACATGGTCAAAAAATGAATGTGACTCACAAACAGCTTCGAAGTTACGCTTCAAATTTCTAAGCGTTAAAAATTAGTTATTAGGGTTTTCAAACGTTTCAAAATTGAAGCAAATTTAAGAAAATTGTGATGTTCCTGTAGCGTTAACAATGCAAGAATCAAAATTAGGCTCTCTATCCTCTTTCAACTACCGGACAAAAAAATTGAAACAGAACGAAAAATTCCGTTTTTAGGCCTGTGCCCAGTATCGGACAAAAAATTGGAACCCTTAGACCAGCTCGAATATTCTTCAAACCACCAATCCAAGCAAATCGCAAAAATCTCAATTTTTTTTTCAGCGCGAAGCACAAGAAGAAAAGTGACCCTTTTGCTCACACAAATGAGTACGAGTATGCATCTGAAATATGTGCACTGTGAAAAGAAATCGTCAGACCTGAAGCGCACCTAAAGTCAAGTGATTTTCCGATTTATGTAGTGCAATTACCTAGTTTTAGTAGACGAAATATTACCTTATTGCTTTAGAAGTGTAGCACGTTTTTTGGCTATCCGAACCCAGACTCGAACGTTCATCGAAAACCTGAGCAACTTAATAAATTCTATTGTTAGAGGCGTTTTTCCAGCGCAAATTAAACCTTGGCACGAGGCCAATAATTAATGAGAGCCCCAGTTTCTGGTTTGGAAACGTCAAGCAAAACCGACAAAATAGGAAAACCAAACAATCGACTCATTAATGGGAGAGGAAAAAAATCTAGCATGTTGCCGAGGAAATATTTGCTCGATACACAATATTAATATTATCCGACAAAGTTCAAAACGGGAAAAAACAATGTTTCCTTCATGCAAACAGCAAACATGTTGTTCTATCTCGCTTCCCTTATCTAATAATGATTAAAAGTAAATTTGAAGAGGCGATGCAGTGGGGACGAACCGACTTTTGTTTGCCGGCTTTATTTGTTTTCAGAATAAACGAAATTAAAGTACACGCTTTTTATCAAAAAAATATTCATTTTCTTCGTCATGTAAAACCCATTTGTTTAGCGGCAAAAAAATGATTATTCGAATTGCCCAAATGCTTGCTTTATTATTTGATTGCTATAAATTCTTGACAGTAATGAAAAAAAAATCAAAAGAGACAGTTAGGCGAGTAAGAAAATCAGCGAGACCTTAAATCTTGAGTACTTAAATCCCGCGTTGTAAACGTTCAGAATTTTTATCAAAGTTCCATCTGCAGCTTGATTCGGCTCTGTTTAGTCCCCCCCGAGTAAAGTATCGATTATATGATTATTAACAGTGCATACTTAAAATTATATTAGCGTGTTCTTGGAGAAAAATGACGACCAGGCACGGTAAGACGGGATAGGGATCATGGAAAAAGAAAAAAAGCCCGCTAATCACATGCTAATGGAGAGTTTATCAACTGTCTTCCTCGACGGTTTCGTTTTTGTTTTCGGAATAGAAAATATGGACGGTGAAAGACTTTAACTGAAAAATGATTTTTCTAATCGATATGAAATACAGTTTCTGGTTTGTGCTGTTTGCTTGTAATCGGGTATGGAACGCAATTTACATGGTTGTTAGAACACAGCCATTCACTTACGTGCTTTTACCTCGTTAGGGCTATGGCGAAGGGCTTTTAGAACGACCAAAGGCTGGCGCTTAGACGTATTTTAATAGGCTGTTAACGGAATTGGGCAATTTCGGCTCTGCATGAAGTTTCAAATCGCTGAATACCGTAAGAGGTTAAGTGGTTTGCACTTTGTCCAATCAACAAAGAATCGAAACAAAACTCCATTTTCCCTGCAACTACTTTGATATTGGAAGTCTCTACAGCATTTTCTCCGACAGGAACTAAAAACAATTGTTGATGCGATTAAATCCGACTCCAAGTAAAACGTTAAAGTAAATGCAAGAGAAATCGTAAAAATAAGATCCGACCTCGTAAAGAAAAGATTTTATTTTTGCCGGAACTATAATGGAATTTGTCAGATTAAAGGTGTTTCTGGCTATTGGAAACCGTGCTGACGAAATTGGCTCGGAATGGAATAAAGGAAAAGCGGGATAAAAATGGTTTTTAAATACTGTTTGCTCGGCTATTTGGCAAGAAATTGCGACACCTTTTTACGGCGAAAATACTCGAAGAAGATCCAAAATGAAACTAATCAGTAGAATCATTTTACACAGCGAAAATAAATATCAAATCTGTTAAAACGTTTTACTTTTGTAAAAAATCAAACAACAAAGGATTACTTCCTGATTTTGACTTTGATTAAAAATCCTAATCCCGATTACTTAATAGTCTTTTTTGAGTGGCGAGAAATAAACGGAGCCTGAATCTAGTGCCGAACTTGCTACCAGAACAGAGAATATTATCAGTACCATAAAACCGAAAAATGTTTCAATTAAATCAGATATCGAACAGCCAGTCCCCTAAATACGACTGGTTATACCTGAATATTGAGTGAAACAGGGCACACACTTTGTTGGGTCAATATCTACATTAATTATTCGAACCACCGAATTATTGAGGAAGGAATCGCATCCAAGCTTCCACACCTAATATCAGATTTCCATTTAGCGTCAGACCATTGTTAAGTAAAATTAAAAGGTTCGACAGTCTAAGATTGGCTAATCGCGAAAGAGGTGAATAACTGCTCAGCCAAGCAAATTTTGCAATTTGCCGAGTTTCCAGCAGAAATCTTTCGAGCAGCTCGAACGTGAAAAAATATTTAAAGGTCCGCTTTGTCTACATTTTTACAATAAACTGAAAAAATCGTTCATATTGTGACGCTTAATATCACGAAACATTAAATTATTTTTTAGTATATTTGGAAATATTATTTGATTCATTATTTTGTTTGCATTTGTACATTTTTACATTAAAGAAAAATTGTTGGGCTGAGTGACATCGATTTCGATTTCACCAGCTAAGTGATTTATTTCTACTAAAAGCTTCCATATAAAGCCTAGTTCGATTCAATTGAGAGCTAATAGAGATTGAAAGATTCGGAGATTTAAATGTTTTAGTTACGGTTTTGCGCACCATTTCTCAATTAAGCGTGTTTTCTCTAAATGTATCGATTTTCCTCGTTTCCTGTACCGATGGAGGACACTTTAATTGCCTTACCCATAATTCAACTCTAGGAGAAATTTTAATTTCCTGCTAGCATTCGGACTAATTACATTTACTTGCCCGATCTGCTAGATAGATTTATTCATGTTTATGATGTAGTATTTATGAGCTGGTAGTTCGAACGTTTCATTTATGGAGGGGAACTCACTAGATGTACTGTTATTAAAGCATACAAATTAGACGTTACAAGGAAAAGTTGCTAGCCAATTATGAGCGGAGTCTTCACAATCGTTAGGGATTACTGGGTTTCACTTTGTCATCAAATGTTTAACATTCCCGTTAGGAATTATTCAGGAGGGCTTGGGTTTCGGTTAAAACTGTACTGTTAAAAATATAAATACTCACTTACAACAGTATAAATGCTCTTTGTTTGCAGTTAATTTGAAGTAAAGCTCGTCGCTTCTAGGCGAACTGCATTTGTTGAAGAAGTAATTGGATTTTTATGAACATTGACAAAGTTCAGGTTTTGATGGTAGTATTCTGGTAAAGCATGAATTTCAACGGAATTCTGAAGGAATAATACCTAATTTCAGCAATCAAAATGAAAATGATAAATTATTTGGAAACAGAACTCGAAATCAAAACCGTTAGGCTTCATTGCTGGAAACTGCTGAGTTTTTCTTGCTTTAAGGCCGTCGTAAAGAATAATTTCTCGGAAGATTGCGAAACGTCAGGAAGAAATTATCTTCCACGACGCCTTATAGTATGGAAAACTCACCAGATTCAAACAGTGAAACTTTAAAATATGTGCCATTTTCAATAGAGGCGAAATACCCATCATCTGTGCTTAAAAATGTCAGCCATTCCCATCAAATTGAGCCCTCAGATCCATATATTCCACACATACACTCACAATCACACTTCTGTAAAAATTGTTAATTTTTAAGCTATTTTTGAATTGTCACTAGTCAGCTTCAAGCGGTTTTATTTGAACGTCCTGGAATTATTGTCGACTTTCCAAATTTTGCATGAGAAACTTCCAAATAATTTTTAGGTTTCGAAAAGAAATGAGTTAATGAAAGTATGAGTATGGTTCAGATATTTGCCTTGCAAATATCCTCTTGCTCGGGTCGTAATTTGAAAACAAGCAAATTAGACGTTAGAAACAAAACTTTCCATCCAATTGCTGGGTAATTGTGGACTGTATGTCAAGAATTGACTGACTACGATGACAAACATTTTACGGGTTTTACCATTAAAAATGCAAAGTTTTCATTGGAAATTGTTCACGACCATTCGCAAAATTTGCTCACTTGTTACTTGCAAAAATTTTGCAAGTGTATTCTGTAGGAGTCTTACATTAGTTTACATCGGAGACATATAAAATACTTGTTTTTTGCCAATACCAACATATTGACGAAAATCACTCGTTTATCCGAAAACGGTTAATTGAAACAAACCTAGTTTGAAACACTTAACCCAATTATTCCAGTAGGTTTTAAATACTGTGATTTCAATATCGAAAGAAATCTTCCCTCGAATACGAGTGTCTAATCATACGCCTTGAATGGGATTTTAAACCAGTAAATCCGTGCTAAAAAGACCATTCGTTATTAAGAGTGAACCACATTAGGATTTATTTAGTGGAGAGGCTGCAAATGCGATAAGTCAGAGTTACTGAGCAGCAACAAGTAAAGGGTTGAGGGCTGGCAGACTTTTAACTCAACTACTCCATACTTAGATAATAAATTTGCCATTTAATCTACAACTATTACTTTAGCAGCACTTACCTAATCGAGCGTTTGATGGAGTTGAAGCTTCTCATCGATTCTGCTAATGGGTGCCAATTCTGGATAAGCTACTGCATCTGGAACGAAAATGTCTAGTTAATGTTGGGAAAAATGTCTGCATGTACGCCACTGTCTAAAGGCCACTCGTCGCTAGTTGTATTAAAATCTAAATCATTAACTAGGCCCCATTGGCGCGCCTCCCCGTTCCCAACATAAAAACGCTTTTTTATGGGGGAAAAGGTGGATTTTTAACGCTCGGGAGAATACGGCAGACTCAGAGGTAGTTTTCAGGCAGCTTAGGTAATAAAATTCTGATGCCTTTTTTACCTGAAATAGAAAACATGGAATAAAGCGGATTCTTCTCGTAATTGGTTTTGGCTGGTTTTTGCATACTGTTTCACTATTTATTCGCCTGCAGAATAACTAAGCCAAGTGCTTCCAGGGTTGCAATCCGGAACTGTTTTGAAAACTATGTATTTTTTCGGAAAACCACAAAAGAACCAAGACGCATTAAAAAGACCTACAACCTACTCAAAGAATTTAAGAGAAACGAAGCAATTTTCCTCAACATTTCAGCAAGAAATTCATAAAAATCACCATCCAGAATTTGTCTAATGCGTGAAAAACCAGTTTTGCTTGTCCAATTCTTTCAAATTCAATTGCATAGGTAATGCAAAATCGGTAGCGTGAATTAAAAGCCGTTTAAACACACTACATCAGCAGTAGAGTGAAAAACAAAAACTTAAATGATTACACGATCTGAATGGTTGCATTTGCGACAATTCGATAGAAAACGCTCCCATGAAAAGCCTGTAAGTCTCGATTTTCCGGCTTTTTCTTTGGAAAATCTGGAAATAACCGCGTCACAACTTGAGGGCTCTCGACAAAAGCTTTTGAGCAAGTAACATACGTCGCTGCCGCCAACATGGAGCGCGGATGAAAAAAATTACGGGGAAAACAAGGTCTGGATTTTGCCGGGCGCTTTTTAATGTTTCGCCATAATGTGTGTTGGAGACGTCGAAAATCAGCGAGGTTTTGTTGGAAAATTTTCAATTCGGAGCAAAATCTTTTGTGTTTTATGGGCGTTTAATCAACGACCCAATTCCAGTGGATGGTTATTCAATAAGCAACGGGAGAACATTTGCTTGCTATTGACCCAGTAACTTTTAAACCCCTCGAGTTTCGCGTCGGGATTTATCCCTATTATAATGCGCATTATTAACCTGGCCCCAAAAGGTCACTATTTGAATTTAAATTCGTTTCATTGAACGGCGAATCTATGGCAAGATTTTGTAGGACTCAGTATCGTTGCGAATATAAGCACGTATTCGTTGGTAAACATTCGAAAACCAAAATGCTTTCTCCATATCTTTTCGACTTTTTTCCATGAATTTCGTATTCATCCCCCACGTAACTGCGCCGAGAACAAGCTGAAAACATTTTTAGTGACGCAGACGTTGTAACAATGGGAGAAGTTTCCCCGGTGGCCCGCGCCGGGGACTTTCCCCAAAAACTCGCACAATTTCCGGTGTTTCCCCTTGAGACTCGGCAGCCGACCGGTAGTCACGTACGACGCTGAATAAAGGGGGTCGATCACGATCCACGACGTCTGACACTGTATTAAAATTTAAATCATTAAACCCAATACTCCATGGACGTACCTTGGTATCATTCCGTCCACTTGTCTACCATCTATTAATCATTTAAAATATAACTACGAGTGCAAACGAGTGAAGCCATCACTGTACGTATTGAAAGGAGAGAAACGACTGGCAAACCGTTTTTGCCGCTGTCGTTTCTCCTATTCTAACACACGCAGTTAGGAGTTTTCCTTGTCCTACTTACACAGAGACAACAGTACAGGATATTTCCTCATAAGTTGACAATCCGACTAGATCGTKTACTTAARAAAAYGGTSAAAAKTAGAAAATATGAATTTTGWTTTTTTACTTASGTTGYTAAAATCKRAATCTAAAATAAAAAAACGTAAGAGGAAAATGYGAAARTTTTGAATCTTAAACTTGTGAAGGACCAGTGGCTGCGATCTGAATCCTTTGGATTATTTTGTTTGGGGACATAATGAGCAACTTTAGTATTTACCACTTTCACAATTTTTGGAAAGAAATGATCAAGTTATAAGAAAACGYCCTGTACGTTATAATAATCGTATTTTTCAACCCCGGATSTTGATTAACTGGTAAAATACCGCAACGGTTTTGTTCGGGCTTCGSCAACCTCCATTCGTTTGTCCTTTCCTCAATATTATTATTCATTAGGGGAAAAATTCGTCTTCTTTATTTTTATACGTTCATAAATTCGACCAATTCGGCTTCTCCTTGTTATCAATCGTAATTTTTGTTCGTACGTGACGCGAATGTAAACATGGCCTGTTTGAGGGCATCATCTTCACGAACGGAATAAAACGAAACGAATCGATGTCGATTGATCTAAATCGCACTCTTTCCGAAAATTAACACTGGATCTGGTGTCGACTTTTGCTGGATACTTGTTGTTGATTGGATGGAGGAGCCATCTCACATTGAGACAGTACGGCGATTGCTTTGCTACAATGTTGCAGGGTTCGTTGACTGATTAGGGTTTATTCAAGGGCGCAAAAGAACGCATTTGCTTTCAGTTTGAAGATAGTTCAAGAACGAAAAGATAAAGTTCTGTTAAATCGGATCAGGTGACTCTATAAATTCGGTTATTTTGAAYAGGGAAGCTGTCAAAACTAAAAGGTTTAATTATTCATCTTCAACCGACCAGTGAGTTATGTTGAAAGTGGCTGTTCACCTGAAGTCACGTGTTGATGTTTAGRSAACATTCTCAAAAGGCTCTAAATTGTAAGCAAACAATCATTATAAGCCGTATGTAATTAGCACACCTAGAAAACTTCAGTMGMAAAGTTCGTATTTATTTATAYAGAAACTGAAATGAATTAAGCTTGGTAGAGCTCCTGTTTGAAAACAATKTTTCGTAGCCAATTCAGTGCTGTCAACATGTTGATATTAAACAGTGCTTTATCCAATTAAATTTCTTTAAAAGGGTTTTAAAAGTATTTCGCTCCATTTATTTGAAAAATAACTATTTGTCTCAAAACAACAATGTGTGTTATATTTTGCAATACTGTAATCGCTCTTGGTGGTAACTTTAAACAACATTTAACACAGAATTGCTTCTTGTGGGGTCCCAAAAAATCGTAAAAGCAATTAGAGGCTAATAAGGAAAACCATCGGATATACATAACGTGTCCATGTAAATGGAACTAACATTGTTGGCATTCCAGTATTTGATCTGGAACTTGTTACGTCGGGCAGTGAGTCGAAATGTTTGCCTTCAAGAAAACAGAGGGCAAATATGTGCGAGAATGGTCCCAAAATTTCCTCCTTGGGATCTGGATGGCGCCTGTGCGTTTCTAACATAATAATGCATTAGGGACTTTCGAACTTCCAGAATTCCCGCATTGACACATAGCAGCTCATTAAGGCATTGCGGCTCGTATAAAGTCTGTTTCCAGTTAAATTATTAAAGAAAATATTCCATCCCTAAGCGTCCAATCAACGTAACCTTTTGCAGAATAACTTTTCCATCAGACTTACAACAATACGACGAAATCAGCACCTCGCTCCCTCAAGAAAACCATTCGGCAAACAGTTTGTTTTCTTTTCATCAAAAATAAACATTTCGAATCGGAGGAAAATTTAGCGGCAGTGCACCATTTCAGCTCCAAGCCTGCCCGACCGGGGACAAACCGATCGATCAATACGGAAAATGTTAAATCCAGTTTAAAATAAAGACTACAAGCTCATATCGTAGACAATTCGTTATTATTCGAGCACCGAGGACATTCGACGTTTAAAAGTGGAACGACTCGTTCAAATGTAAATACTCGCCACTACCAACTATTTTCCTACTTGGAGTTTAGGGCCAAATTGTAAATTTTGTTGCAACTTGAGTCTGCAATTAATACCTCATTTCTTCAGCCACAAAGCTTCAAGCTTGTGCATTTTTGGGCATTTAGGACGTGGTGGAAATATTTTTTTTCTAAATGCCCGAAAAAGTAACAAAATCGAGTAATACCTGTGAAAGCTCATTTGAAAATCCATTAAAATTTTGTTGCATCTGCTTCCAACGTCAAACAATAAATCAGTGATCAGTTAATTTCGTTCCTTGGGCTAAGAGCAGTTTGTTGCCAGTTTTTCAGCTTTGCGAGAAATAAGGGGGTTTTAAGATTTAACTTCGAAGATAAATTTAAAGACAAAATAATTGCATTTCTTAATTCATATTACCTTCAACTGCACAGTTTGACCGAGTTAACTCTTATCTAAAGTTTCATGCCAATTTATCTCTTATATCAAAAATGAACCTGGGAATACATGTGCCAAAGACACTACAAGCAAAACATTAAGAAGTTAGTCAAGAGTAAAAATCCAAGAGTTGCAATGGAGAATACAGTAGTTTCAGATGAATTAAAGGGCAATTGAAGTTTAGCGGTGTTGCAATTTTTGCGCGCTGTTTTGTTTCCGAAATACCCATCATCAGCACAAATAAATCACATTTTTTCATTTCATTCACATAACTTCATCCTGAATTACCTGAAGTACATTAGAAGTATTTATAATTGAGTGTTGGTCAAACTTTTACCTAAACATGTTATATCGATGGAAAAGGGCGGCTTTGAATGGAACTTGCAAGTGGAATTTCCTCGAATCCGAAAGATTTTTCAAGCCGATTCTGAGTGACATGAAAAGAATAACGCCAGCAAATAATACGTGCCGATTTGAATATGTTACGAGTTATATATTTTATATATAGAAAGTAATGAAATAGTTACAATCGATTTTACCGGGATTCCCAGAACGAATGCAATTAAAGCAACAACTGAACATAATATTGGGATCGTTCCATTGCGAATTGTGTGGCAAACTGCGTATAAACCACAGCAGGAAACTTACAGGAACATATGGAGAATTAAGCCAGAAAAATAATTTTCATTGAATCACAACAGTTGATTCTAATTTTAGCTCTATTTCAAAAGTGCAATTGGCAAAGGTTCATTCGCTTCAACAATCTAACC